GCAGGACTATAACACTCGCACGCTATTTATTTGGAAGCACAAAAATAGTATTTTCTTACAACAAGAGGTTTCAATGTACCTGTATGCACTTGTGCAGATCCTGAGCGCAATTGATGGCGCTTGTCAACTATATACTAACAAGCGTTACTACTACACACTGCACACAGTAAATAAACAGTACACAGTACGTACACAGACCAAACAATACTTCATCTAATAATTTATATTATTAACAACAATAATAGTATTACATTATACATACGCCTTATGGGATTTCCAAATACCTTTCAGGGCTTCAGGCTCTCTCTGACTCAGTGAGACCGTGACTTTTTGAAATCAGTAATCTGTACATATGGAGTCTATAGTCTATGCGGAGTATACTCTCTGTCCAGTCTACGTAAAACCTCAAACCCTAATTTATAATTACGTTTTGGTAGCTCAGCGTATACGTTGAGCATAAACGTATATTATTTTGATATATAGTTAAACCGTATATTTAACGTAGAAGTGGGTACGAGGTCGAGAAGGCTCTAATAACCTCCGTCAACGTATACGTATACAATATAGTTTCACCAGTTGAATCTTTTAACGTATACGCCGCGAGAATAGGTCTCACCTACTACAACACATAATTAGACTACATAAGGTAATATGTTTATAACTTGCACCTAAGAGCTCAGATATTGCAACCTAATCAAACTTATAGTACCAAACCAAGTTAGACGTTTAACGTACATCATGCGAGAACTTGGTTTGGGTTTTATACGTTATAAACGTATTGAGGCAGGACTTCTGAGTAGCCAATAGGACCAGGCTTGGATAGCTGATATAACGTATTGATCATAGGTGAAAACGTTACGATACTCAACTACATACCAAGATATCAACTCATAAACATTGATAACGCTTTGGAGTAGGAAAAAGCCTGACGCTGCGGTTGATGACACATACATACTCTTTTAATTTTTCCAAAAAAGCAAACGCGCGGGCTACTCAGCTTTTCTATTTTTAGAGTTTCTGGAAACAAACCGCACCCTTCCCGAATATCCGCGAGAGATCGATTTAAAAACAAAAAACAGGACTAATACCCTAAACCCTAAAGTGTATATGTAGCAGGGTTGGCTCAGGTTTCTCGCCAAGTCTACGTATATACACCATATTCACCTGCTGGTAAAAGAGCACTTTGCCCACCACCAGTATATAAGTGGCAGTATAAGCCCTCGCGTATGTCAGAATTGACTTATCGAGCACTATATGCTTAGATTGCATTGAGGTACTTGCCTCTTAAAGTACGAGCAATTAGCTCTTAAAACCGAATAAAAGTTATACCACTAATCGACTGAATTTGACATATATATATACGTACATAATACATATATAAAAACATATACAAGTATGAGGACACTCATCACCCTGGCGCGGAATGTATCCAAGCTACCTAAAACAGTACCGCGTGCTTTTTCTGGGACATTATCTCATCAGCCCAATTACTCGGGACCGTTGAATGCACTCTCCCATTTCCCTGAACGCACACCAGAGCTGTATATCGCCAGCAAGCGTCTCTTCAGCAGTGGACTAATCCCGAACCAACAGAACAAGAGTTGGGTCAATCCTCAGGCCGAAGCTCCTGGAGAAGCTCTGAAGAAGTACGGCATCGACCTGACCCAGCGTGCACTAGATGGTAAGCTGGACCCTGTGATAGGCCGGGACGAGGAGATTCGCAGAACTATACAGGTGCTTTCCCGCCGAACAAAGAACAACCCAGTTTTGTTGGGCGAACCAGGGGTATGTTTTTTTCTGGACTCTGGCGAATGCGAGTGCGTATTGTAATCGCTCTCTTGTGTATTTACGCTGAATGATTACTTTGTGTATATAGTGAATTGTATCTCATGCATGTGGTATAGGCCGGGATGAAGTTAACGTGTTGTCAATGCATGCAAACAATTTTCACCGCAAGAACACTCAACGGGTAAAATAGTCTGCACTTCCTCGGCCATCTTGTCTCGTGAGAGACGGATGAACTACTTCAGCTGTCGATGTGTCGTCTACTCAGTAACCCACATCCTTCTACGTCACCGGCAGCGATTATTGCAGTGTTGATTCGTGCCCATCCCTATCATAGTCGTAGCCTTCTGGCTGTAGGACAGGAGATTATGCTACACTGCTGTTGAATTTCAACTTCTTGACTTAATCCGCGAGTATCCGCGCTGTACTATCGTGTTCTATTGCTCGTGGTTGTTAACCTGGCAATGATCTAGTATGAATATGATATGTTAGCTTAGTGCAACGTACAACAACCTTCGAATAAGACGACAGGCGGTGCCGCAGCCGACCGTTCTTTCTCCTGTGTACTAGTCCATACTATCCTTTTGTTAATCAGGACTTAAAGTCAACCAAATATCTAATACCGCCTAATGACGCACTGACATAGCACTGTAGATATTTGACTGACACTATAGTGACACGATAGTGGCTGTTCATGCACATTTGTGCATATGCGTGAGTCACGCTTTGATCAGTAATCATGGTACTGAAACTTTCTTCTATTCATTTGCATCGTACATAGGTGGGTAAGACAGCTATAGCGGAAGGTCTGGCCTTGCGAATCATTAACGAGGTATGTACTTCTTTTTTCTGTTGTCTATGGTTTTTTATTAGTGCTATGTAATAGTTTTTTTTGCGTGGGGTTATTTATTATTTTAAACTGCGTATACATGCACGCATTTCTTCTCATCTCTACGTTCAGCCGATATATGATTATATATGTACATTTTTGATTATATACATACGTCTTTGGTTATATACATACGTGTCTTTGATTATATATGTACGTCTTTGATTATATATGTACGTCTCTGATGATATACATACGTGTCTTTGATTATATATGTACGTCCTTGATTATATACATATGTGTCTTTGATTATTAATATACGTCTTTGATTTTATACATACGTATTTGATTATATATATACGTCTTTGATTATATATATACGTCTTTGATTATATATATACGTCTTTGATTATATATATACGTCTTTGATTATATGCATACGTATTTGATGATATACATACGTCTTTGATTATAGTATATATACGTCTTTGATGATCTATCTCTGTTCCCTGTGTGTGTGAAATGGTGCAGTTTGCGTATGATGCTGCAATTGTATGCTTAAGAGTTGCAATTAGCGTTTGTTCGTGTTTTGCGTGTCATATCTTGTTTGATGAGCAGTGTAGATATTCTTCGATTACACCCACGTGGTAATCACATAGTTTTTTGTCCGTTTCCATAGGAACGGTCGCCAAACACTGCCGGTGATCGGTGATCGTTTCATACAAGTGTCTCTAAAAATGCGTAGGTGTTAGTGTACATGTGTCGCCCGAGCGCTTACCTACCGAATAATCACCCCACTCCAGGATGTTCCTGAGTCGCTCAAGGGCTGCAAGGTGCTGACCCTCGACCTGTCCAGCCTCATCGCCGGTGCCAAATTCAAAGGCGAGTTCGAAGAACGCATCAAGGCCGTGTTAAAAGATGTCGAGGAGAGCAAAGGAGACATCATCCTATTCGTCGATGAAATGCACACGCTCATGGGCCTGGGCAAGGGCGAGGGTAGTATGGACGGTGCTCAGATACTCAAACCGGCGTTGGCTCGCGGTGACCTACACATGTGTGGAGCGACCACCCTGGCGGAGTACCGCAAGTACGTGGAGAAGGATAGTGCGCTGGCCCGACGGTTCCAGCCGGTGATGGTGGACGAGCCCAGTGCAGAGGATAGCATCTCTATCCTGCGAGGGCTGAAGGAGAAGTACGAGTTACACCACGGTGTGAAGATTACAGACGCGGCGCTGGTGTCGGCGGTCATGCTGAGCAAGAGGTATATCACGGACCGGTTCCTTCCGGATAAGGCGATTGATCTGATGGACGAGGCGGCTAGTAGGCTTAGACTGCAGCAGGAGAGCAAGCCCGAACCGTTGGAGAATTTGGATCGGCAGGTAAGGAAAAATTGGGATTTTCGGGTTTGAGAATTAGGGCCGTTCGTGCCAGTTTCGGTTTGGGCTCTGTAGTTAATCTATCCGTGTTGCAATATAGCGAGGTATGGAGGACATTCATTCTCTAGTGTTGATTTTGCATACGGCCGCAATCGTTGCATGCGTTGGACGTGTTGGCGTGATCATCGACTGGCACGTGCCTAATACTCTCTTCAAACGTTTACACACCCACAGCTTATTACATTGAATACTCACTTCAAACGTTTACACAACCACAGCT